GACCACTTGTAAGCTTTCAAAATTTAGAACAGGCTCTGATATTATTTTCCTTTTCATTGGAGATTGCCTCCTATTTAATTTTACATTCTCCTCGGAGAATATATTTCATTTATCATGTCTTTTAAGTAGTTCTGTGTATATATAGTATACAATGTGTATAGATTGTAAATGTGTTTATATATATATATATACACACACACACATTTTAGTCAGTTTCCACAAAATTTTAAGTATGAGCTTAATTATTATAAATTCTGAATTATTTACATGTATATATGTATTGAATATGTGTGGAAGTGCCCAGACAGCCCAGAGGAATTAGATGCTTCTGAAGCTAGAGTCAGAGACCATCATGAACCTCCTGACATGGATGCTGGAAGCCAAACTTCAGTCCTCTGTAATAAACAATCTTACCAGCTGAGCTCTCTCTCCAGCCCCTAATTATTGTCCATTAACTAGAGGAGATGGGGGGGGTTATTTGTTTATAACTCTCTACTGCTATTAATGCCTTTAGTATCAGAAAAAAAGAAATTAGCTATTTCAGTGTAATAGAAAGACAACTATGAGGACATCAGAATCTTTCATAAAAGTCTGCACAGCCAACTGAATGTTCCCCTCCCAGTCACATTTGGAGCCAGCCTACCTGTAAACAGTGGATTGGAGTACATTAAAACAAGGAATGTACTCATCTCGAGTCAGTACTCAAGAACGTTGTGCTACAAAGGAGGCCGGAGACTTTAGTGCTTGAGCAACATAAACTAAGGAACAGTCTTTCCTTCACTTCTGTTGCGTTTTTACCTTCCTCTAGTAATGGCTTAACAAAAGATAGGACTTCTTCCCATAAACCTGCCCTCTAAATAGTCAGACTTATATTCTTCTAAAAGAGAGCAATCCTTTTGACTCCCCAAAGGATTCTGGGATGGAGAAGTATCTCCTAGCTGGGCAGTGGATCCCGTGGAAGGCTGCCATTGCCTCTGTTGTTAAGGCCCCACCATCCTATTCATTGCTATGAAGTACCCTGATAAAAGTGACTTAAGCGAGGAAGGACTTGGTTGGCTCGCAGTTTTGAGGTTACAGTCCACTGTGGTGGAGGAGTCACAGCAGCAGGAATGTGAGGTGGTCACATGGCACCCACAGACAAGAAGCAGAGAGAAATGCACGTGCCCAGCTCACTTTCTCCTTTTTACTCTTAAATATTTTTGCAGACTCTTGAAGAATTTCATATAGTATCTCTTGATCATATTCACTGCCCATTCTCACCCCAGACTCCTTCTAGATCCTCCCCATTGTTTGCATGTTTGAAGAGTCTATCTTGTAGCAGCTGTCTTGGTCCTCTGGCTCTTGTAACATTTCCATACACACACACCTTCCATGATGTTCCCGGAGCTCGTGTGTGTGTGTGTGTGTGTGTGTGTGT